GGTGACGAGCAGCAGCGGGAACAACGGCCTGGTGTCGCCATCGTCGCTGTCTCTGAACATCAAAGAAGAGTACTGAGGACGTCTGATTGGACGATAGAACGGGACGGGGCGGGATCTCAGACAGAACTGCGATCGTCTCCGTCCCTTCGACTTGAAGCTTGTAAACATGGGACGAGGTTGACGGTGCGAGTGCTGTTGTCAGAACATCGTTGTGTTCTGATTGGACGTTCTGAGCAGCAACAACAGCCAATAAACGACGAGCTTCAGATCTGTCAACAATCGTCGCCTCGTCGGCGGAACTCTTTAGTTCTTTCATCAGTTCCGAGTCAAGTCCCGACTGACAGACTTTTGGGTTTAGTTCGATTTCAATGTCGTTCATATTTATATTGTACCATTTTCAACCAACAGAGGTCGCTCATCGCAGCTCCCTTGGTGTCATTTCGAAAACAATAAAGTTGCGTCACGGTGTAAATGATCAAAACCCAAGATTTGAAACCATTAGTTCTGTGGACCAGGAACAGAAAAGTCCTTCTGGAACCTTCCTGTGTTTTCATGAAAACTGAAGAACTGGACCGTAGTGTGAACGGTCACTAACTCTGCCCCGTGATGTCTGTCCCACACTCAGGTCCTCTGAGCCACAGGGCTGGATGTCCAACAACCAGGACCTTTATTTTGAAAAGTCAGTTCTCAGGGATCCTGGTTGATTTGTCCCAATGATCTGGTCCACGTGGGAGACACCCGAGAAGAAACAAACGTCTTCAGATTAGGTCCTCAAATTCACTTTCTGAAGAGGAGACGTCCTCCTCAGAGGAGATGTCCTCCTCAGAGGAGACGTCCTCCTCAGAGGAGACGTCCTCCTCAGAGATGGTGTCCTCCTCAGAGATGGTGTCCTCCTCAGATGAGACGTCCTCCTCAGAGGAGACGTCCTCCTCAGAGGAGATGTCCTCCTCAGAGGAGACGTCCTCCTCAGAGGAGACGTCCAGCTTCAGTTTTCCACTTCCTGTTTCTAAACAACGACTTCCTTCTAACTCCACCTTCTAATCCCCTGGAACACAGAAGTCTTTTAAACCAAAGTCAATCTGACCTCTGACCTCTGATGATGTCACACAGGTCAACCAATCTCCTGACAGGAAACAAATGTGTTCAAATGTTTTATCATGTTTATATTTTCAAAATAGAAATTTGTATTAAAACGATTCTCCACTGGATCCGCTCTCCGTCTCATGATTGGACTCTGGTTCTGGTTCTGGTTCTGGTTCTGGTTCTGGTTCAGTTAAACTCAAACTCCACTGACGGTAGATTAAAGGAAAAGTACGACCTGACGGACGTCCACGATGACACCAGCTCATCTCCACCACTAGGGTCCTCCACTGAGGTCCTGGAAAAGAATAAACACATGAACCTGAGTGAGACGTGTGTGTGTGTGTGTGTGTGTGTGTGTGTGTGTGTGTGTGTTAATTAAAGCCGTCTTCGTTCCCTCCTCAGAGAACAGTGTTTGACACAGTAGTTGAGGTGTGGCGTCCAAAGGCCACAGAAGAAGAAGACTGAACAAACAGAGCAGATCCTGATATCTCTGTGTGTGTGTGTGTGTGAGTGAGTGTGTGTGTGAGTGAGTGTGTGTGTGAGTGAGTGTGTGTGTGTGTGAGTGAGTGTGTGTGTGAGTGTGTTGACCTTTGTCCCTCAATTTGCCTCCAACAACAGTGACACTGATAGAGACTATCAGTGGTGTGTGTGTGTGTGTGTGTGTAGTTTTGTGCAACGACTGCCTCAGGATCCAGACCTGGACTTGGACCTGGACCTGGACCTGGACCTGGACCTGGACCTGGACCTGGACCTGCTTGGAATCCTTTGTGAGTCCAGTTTAACTGGTTAGTCTTAGACCAGACCCTGACCTCTGACCTCAGATAATCTCCACATTAGGATTAACATCCAACTCCAGATAAATCTGTCAAGATAATATTAGCATCAGATATGCTACGCTAGAGCAGTAACATTCAGATAGGTCAAAGGTCAGGCCAGATTGGTTTAAGTAACTGAGAATCAGGTTTAGTTCAACTTAGCCTCAAGTTTTTGGCTGTAGATGAAACTAAAGTGGACAAACGTATGTGTGTGTGTGTGTGTGTGTGTGTGTGTGTGTGTAGCAACCGTCCGTATCATTTCATGTCAACAGAAAGCCACGCAGCAGCTCGGCCTCTTCACTGTCGTAAACTTTATTGGGGGTGAGGGCAGTAAAAAACGTTCACCACAGAGACGCAGAAATGTTTACTGAGGAGGCGTGAGGAGCGCAGAGAGGGGGAGGACTTGGACCTGTGGACCCTCAGGGAGACGCACAGGAGACGTCAACCAAACACTACAGGATCCTGACGGCTATAACCCATCATCACTCTCCTACACCAAACCTCATAGAAAAAATCAGTGATTTTAGCTCA